GACCCTACTAGTACAAGTCTCATTTACATAATTAGTTTTAAAAACTTCCCTACAATAGTCAATCAACCCTTGGCAAGGTTGTCTTGGAGAAATTTGTTTTTAATGAAACATTCAATTCAATTGCAAAATTCAATTACAGCATTGCATTCATCTATTGAATTTTATTTTTCCAAAAATAAATTTTAAGTGAACATTCCCCTCATTTCCTTCAAAAATAAAGCTACTTTTATATCAAATGCTCTTGAATAACTATCTTCACTGAGAATAAGATAGGTATTTCAGAATTCAAAATTATTAGCTCCATCATATACACCCAAATTGGGAGGTAACAAAAATGGTGTTAAGTGATAGAATAGAGTAGATCATTATTATCAATCATCTTCTACTATGCTCCATTTCCATTTTTACAAATTAACCAAACAATAGATTAGATTTTCTTCCCGCTCTATCCCTTTTCATTCTACCATCAATCCAAACATGGGAATCATCATTTAGTAATTAGACGTTTTTCACAGCAAATTATACGTGATTTCTACCTCTAATAGGTTATAAAAAAAACATAGCAAAATCAGCCAGCTTGCTCATAGCATAAATTAATTAATTAATGATATACTTGTATTGGTTGAGCTAAGGCATATTAATTTTATGCTTCTTAAAATAATATATTTTTATAAAAATTCACATATAATATTTGTTGTGAATATGAGAGGAATTAAATACACGCAAGATTAATGGATACAAGTCAATTATATATCAATGAATTTCATAATATATTTTAATTTAAAATCTTAAGATACCAGGTTTACGAATTTTTATCACTCAACATATTTATTTTTATTTAATGTCAGACTTTTTATTTATCATTATTATTATTATTATCACTACTCATGTTATTATTGTTATTACTACTACCATTACTACTAAAATCACTATACTAATATTATTGTCATCACACAAACACCTCCTTAAAATAATTTTAATTTGATAGGAAATTTTAAAAGTGAATTTATTTTAAAACTAAAAAAAGCTAAAAATTAAAAATTGGTAGTAGTTATTAAAACTGTAAAACTTAAAAACAAAAACCACCCCAAAATAGGCCCTTAGTTTCCAGATTATTTTTAACATAATTTTGCTCCTAAATTTATTTATGTGAACATATTAATTAATTCATGTATTTACACTACCTCCATTCCGAAATTATTGATGTTGTAGTATTTTCTATTTATTTAAAAAACTATTGATGTTTTAAGTCATTTTACAAATATACACCCTTTATTTGAAATAATTAAATTTAATCTTTATAAAAAAAAATATTGTAGTTATAGCTATGTAAGATATATTTAAACAGATAATAAATTCTATTTATATCTTATATTTATTAAGGATATTTTGAAATAAATATATTAATATTTTTACTCATTAAATGCTCTAACTTTAATAATAAATAGTCACTTTGATCTTTCTTGTATTTGTAAGATACTTTCCGTTATTTAGTTATGCTCTTCCCTTTTTTCTTTTTGTTACATTTGTTGTCTATTTATATTATTCTCATTTGTATTATGCTATCTTTGACATTACTAGTATATGTTCAAATGACTTGGGTGGAGGATAGGCGCCGCATGAGTTGTGCGAGAAGTTGGTGGAGGATCTGATGTTTATGTCGAAGGATATTTGGTGGTGATTGAAGACCAATTGTTGATTACAGTGGTGCAGTCATATCTTAAGACATACACTTACTACTTTCTACATCGATTATTTAATAATCAATGTAAAAATTCTGTTCAATGACTGATGTAAAAAACTAAAATCAACCGATGAAAAAAGTGTAAACTTAAGGAGTGATAGGGACTTAACATTTTTTTTTGTTTTTTTACTGACTAATATGATAATACTAATCACTTTGAGACTAAAATAATCATTTATTCTAACTTTAAACATCAATAAATTTTGAGGGGAAACAGTAAAACATACTGTAACAATAAGTTGTGTTCTCAATTAAATTCAAGAACCAGGAACCACACTGCGCAATGAGAATGAGATTCCTACTTAGCAATTAATATAGGTCCCTCAACCACTTTAAAGACTTTCTTAATAAAGTAAATAAAAAGCATAGAGGTAATTGAGCTCTATTTGTTTGAAGATGAAGTTAATTACGAATGCATTCACTTACAATAACAAATAAATTCTGTAGAGACCGAGCCATATGCCTAGCCATCAAATTCCAAACCACTCCCATAAACTTCATCAAATTGAACAGATTCAGTGAAGGATAGCATAGTAACATGCCTCGAATAATTGAAATCAAATTCATAGTCACATAACAGGTGGTAATCTGATGAGGGTAATTGGTTGTGAACAATATGGTCATCAGGAAGCACTTCCACAGGCTCCTGTTTCGTGGATGAAAGAAGTGTTGAAAATGGGTATTCTTCTTTGCTTGGGAAGGTATTACTGAAGCTAAGGAACATAGATGAGTCAGAAGAAGAAGCTGATTCCAGCATTATCTGTGGACTTAAAGAACTCTTGCAATTGTGATGTCCATAATAAGTTGTCCTATACAATGGAGGGTCCTCTTGAATTCTCTGAACCTGTTTGATTGCTGGACAACCCTCATCATACTTGTGGGTGCATCTGTAGTAGTTCCTACAAACGTTCACTATTTGGATCATATAATATTGGATA